TACCAGACATGCCCCTACTCGCGGTATAGGAGTAGGGGCATTTAATTTACTAATACTAAGTAATCTTTACTTAGTATTAGTAAATGTGGCTGAAAGACCAATTTAGGTCTTTCAGCCTTTTAGTAGATAGCTCCCTGATACCGTGGGAATTAGGGAGTTATCTACTAAGCGGCTGCAAGATGCAGCCACAGCAATGAATAGGATCAGAGTTTCATTCATTAGAATGAAATTCCGATCCGAATAAAGTGCCGAATTGCGTTCTAAAAGAAACGAACAGACTGTTGTCATTCAGTTAGAACGCAATTCGGCAGTTTAGTGGAAAGTGACAGGAAGCATTGTGGGAACACAGAGGAAAGCTAGGGATCATGGGAAAATTGCTCTGACCAGCGGAAATGAAGCACACTTTGCTCCTCCGCTGGTCAGAGCTGGTCAAGCGGAGGAATCCTCCATAAGGCAAAGAGTCCCTACTTTGTCTTATGATTTTAAAGAAAACTAAAGAAGATAGGAAGAAAAGAATAACAGATCCTGAGAGAGGGGGAGAAGAGGAAGAGATTGAGGAAAAGTAAGTTCGGCATGACAGTGCCGCTTTAAGGACACACAATGGATTAATTCTGTCACATGGTATTTTATAAGCAGGGATCATTTCCTAATGGTACAGCCACCCTACTCCTCACCTTCTGTGGCACAAACGATGGGTCTTACCTGGTTCCTGCTATTGCAGTGGGCCTCCTTAGGAGCACAGTGGGGTGAGCTGCACAGTCTTTAAACTTCTGTGGATTCAGATAACTGTCGATGCTCCCTCCAGGCTGTGATTGCGTGCGAGTATTGGCAGTGATCTGCATTCACTCAAGGTGCAGACATGCAGTTGCAGATCTCCAAGGCAGATGCAGGGGGTCTTGAATACACTAGACCCATAGTGAAGAGGTTAAAGGCAATATAAAGGACACTTTAAACCAGTGTTTTCCAAACCAATCCTTAACACTACCAGTCCAAGATTGAGGGATTACCCAGTTGTATCTAAGGCTCTAAACACAACTTACAGACTTACTACATACTTACTGTAGTGGTTATGCTGCAAGAAAGCGATGGATAAAGTCCTTCTGTTTTTTTGTGTGTTTTTTTGTTTGTTTGTTTGTTTTTTACTTTCAAGTGCTTTGACAAGAAGCAAGTAATATCCGAGCATGCTAAGTCAATCCTTTCTGCCTCTGACATCATAGTTAGTAATTTCACTTCCACATTATTTGATGAAATATTTAGACAATATATACTAACCTCCTTTAATTTACCAATGTCAAATAGACAAAAAAATAGACTTTACGTGTAAAAGAAATAGCTCAAATATATGTATGGTTAATGAGGTAATTAAAGGTATACTCTAAACGCTAAAAACAACTTTAGCTTAATGAAATGTTTTAATGTATACATCGTGCCCCAGCCATTGTTTATGCAGCCTTAGCCACAACTCTCCTGGCTGTGATTTACACAGCTTACCTACTCACTTCCTAAAAATGAGCATTACAAGAAAACACATTAGCAGGTACTATGTATAAGCGAATCATTAAAGGAACACTAGGGTCATGAACACAAATGTGTATTCTTGACCCTATAGTGTTTTTTTAACTATAGTGCTAAAAAATAATAGGTCCCCTTACCCCCATCCCCTTTAAATAACTAGAAAATATACTTTTATTCCAGCGCTGTGCGGGTCCGCTGGCACTGGCTCTGTCCCGATCAGCCTTCTTGGCTGACATAATCAGAATTGATGATCTCAGCCAATTACAATGCTTTCCTGTGGGAAAGCATTGGATTGTGTGAGATTGCTAATTCTGATGGGATTTATTCACTTTTATTCACAACCTCTAAGCAGCAAATCGTAGTGAATTTAAAAAAACAAAACAAAAGTTGAGCCAACAAATAGATATTAGTTCAGTCAAATTCGTTAATTTACCTACATTTTGCAATTCACTACAGTTTAGAGTTTAGTGAATAAACTCCTTTGGGATTCTGCTACCCTGGTACCCACAGTAACATATTAGAACTTATATGTCTCATATTACTATAATAATGTCAAAGACTACAAACTCTACCTTTTAATTACATTCTTGTAAGTAAAGTCAGACTCTTGTATTAAATGATTATTCTAAGTAGGGTATTTATTTAGTAAGTTAAGGGCTGCTAAAACATATTCAGTTAATCACGTAATAATACAAAATGGGAGTAAGTATAGCTATTAAACTTATCTGTTCTAAATAATTTTACAGTTGTCCTTGTAATGCTTGCATATGTCATCCATCACATTTGCAGCTATTACGTAACCTTGTTGTTGTAAAAATTACTGATAGAAAAAGACAGTAGGTCAACCACGAATATTTGGGTTCCTAGCAGGAGAACTCATCACAAACTCATCCTTTTGCAAACAATTGGCACCATTCAAACTTAGACAGCTGACAAAATAAATCAAGGACTTG